TAAAGAGGACAGTGCAAAGAAGGTGAAGAGGTGGAAAGGATGAATGAGGTGAAATTGAGCAACCTGTGAAAAAAACACAAGGACCCTAGCTGACCCAAGGATAACTCTGGCTTAAGAGTAAGAAACTGTCAAATCTGGATGCCGATGGTGAAACGTGAAGATGATGTTATCCTGCCTGGTATTCAAGACTTTTTCAAGAAGGGTTTCATCATTTGATGCCTGATCAATTGACCCTGTAGCAGACAATGAATGTATTGAACGGACAGTAGAAGTAGTTCGGGTGTAGCTGGAATGTCCCAAGATAGCAAATTCTTGCTTCTTTTCCAGTTAGCTGAGATGCTTTCACTCGAGTAAACCGGACAGTTCCTGATCCTGATCAGTGAACCTGCGATGAAGATCAAGATCCTGCTGGTTTGCGGGCTTACATAGATAGGTGTGGCTGTTTTGACATCAGATAGAGATAGTTTTACCAATCATAAGTGATTTGATTTGTCTTTGTAGAGGAAAATAGATTTTCAAAATTATCTGTAAATTGATACGCATACTTTGGCTATCTTTACGAAGTTGGAGGTAAGGAAGGATCACAAAATAATTTAATAATGGAACCATAACTGTCGAAACTAAAGGTTTTTGATCATCTGTCTGTGCTCCTCAGTTCTTTCCCTTCAAGATTCAACAAATTTAATCCTAGAAAAAAGCTTACAGCTGCATTTATTTAAATGGAAATAGTGACGTTATAATAGAAAACAAAAGAACTGATTACTTTTTAAAATACTACTTGTGTACAGCTGAAGCTAAGGCTGAGGGTGAGATGGTGAGAGGTGTGAAAGCCTTATAGAAAGCAGGCATGATGCAAATGAAAGACAAGTCTGGAAACAGTGGCTCACTGGAACACAACAAGTCCCAAAACGCCCGCACCAAACCCAGTACCCGGGGACAAAGCTGGGGAGAAAGTGAAAGGAGGGAGGAGGTGAAATGGGAAGGAGGAAGGTGAACCGAGTCATAACAAGGATGGAAACAGCGGTGTCTTTGTGACAGAAGCAAAACCAACCAATCCTACGAAGAAAGCAGGGAGAGGAAGGTGACTGAAGGCAGGAAAGAAGAAGAGGTGAAAAGGGGGTGAGCATGTGGAAGGAGAGGGGTAAGCCAAGGACAGAGGGAGCTTCTGACTGCACTGAAGGTGGAGACAGGAGATTAAAGAGGACAGTGCAAAGAAGGTAAAGAGGGGGAAAGGATGAATGAGGTGAAATTGAGCAGGTTGAGGCAAGAAAACAGGAAAGAGAAAAGAAAACTGGGGTTTTTAAGTGATGTGATGCAATTTCTGTCAGCCATTTTCAATGTCAACAACTGTTCTTCATGAATGTGTAACTCAGTAAACACAGCAGATTTCTGTTTTTATCTAATTATATTTAACATACATTGAATCAATTTTATTTTTACATAATTTTGGAAACTTTTAACCAGCTAGATTCCCAACACACTGCAGTATCTAGCCACCAGCATTAGGCAAATCTCAATCTATAGGGGCAAATTTATTCTGTAGATAAAATAACAAGTTATTATTATTTAGTTAGCATTTATCAGTTGTCCATTTGACAGAACAGATACACCTTAAGATATGATGACTACTGCTTTCAACAATGTCTAATACTTCATAATAATACGAAAGCAATGACAATGACGAAGGTATTTGCAACCAAAAGGTTATTTAAAGTGGAAGACAGCTTTTACCCTAATGTTTTTTTTTAGTCAAATCTTAACACACAGACATGATATGGATATTTTTAGATTCAATGTCACTTACACTGAAGAGGATATTATGTGTGTCCATCACAAATAAACATAACAATAAATCCACCTAGAAGTTCTTATAACTCCAGAACTTGCCTCACATTCATCATGTTTTTGAGTTTTCTTCAGAATCAGAGTAATCAGCTGATAGTTGTCTGTACATCCTCTGATACGTTGCAAACAGGAATTGCTAAACATTAATTTGACACACCTACAGACATAAACTATCAAGCTGATTTCTGTTTTTAACTTTTGTCGAGAGGAAAAATTACTTACTTCCTACGCTATTTACTTTGACCAGAATTGATAATATGAGGTTATTTGCTCAAAAAGTTGATTAAGTGGATCAAGTTACTTTTAAAAGATTAATTAAAGTTTGGATACAAATCTACCCTATCTTTCTATAACTAGTTGTGTTGTCTTTAGCCATTTCCACTGCTCATTTTCTGGTGGACCTCCATGATGGCGCCATGCAAAACTGCTGATGCAACTGCAAACATTCTGCAGCAGCAGGAGGAGATGGAAACAGAAACAGAAAGGTGACAGAAAAGGAGGCGACAGCAAAGTCGAGGTTGAGAGGAAAGGTGAGGATATTACGAGAGGGTAATTTACTTGGGGTCAGAGCAAGGTTGGAAACTGTGTCGAAGCTGACAGTAGCAACACAAAGACTGTCCAAGGGCAGCGGGGGCAAGAGGAGGTAGGAGGGCGAAGAGAAAGGAGGTGGCAGTACGAGGTGAGAGGAAGGTAAAGGAGGTTGGAAAGGTTGGAAACAGTGGCTCATATCCCTGTGACAGTAGCAGATCTGACTGAAGGGGCGGTCGAAGGAAAGAAAGGAACAGGAGAGTCGAGGAGAGAAGAGGTGGGAGGGAATAAATAAAAAGGAGGTGTTGGCACGGAGTCGGTGGAGGGGCGGAGGCGAGGAGAGGGTTTGAAACTGAGGCACATGGGTCATTTCACTAGTTTCCATCCAACTGTCAAGTGAATTTTGAGCAAAGTTTTGAAATGTCGCAAAAACTCAAAGGCGACTTAGATGTGTTTCCATCGGCAGGGGTGAAACCATTTAATAGGCTTCCTGAATGAAAGAAATACACCCATTAGATGGCTAAATGGAAAGAGCCCTTAAAGGGTCAACGACTATTGGGCAAGCTGTTATTGTTCTCCATTGTGCCATTTAGTTTTAGCCATATATTAATGTTTTCGTCTGAAGAAAAAGACAAAGAAATGTACTTTTACATTGGAGCGTGTATGCCATGGCCTTTTCTGGAACTTTTCTGGTAGTTAGAAGGTAATTTTAAAACACGTTTGAGACTATTCTGTATGTTGGTTAAAATTGATCAAATCTTCCACAAACCTTTATTCAAAAGCTTTCAAAATATTACTTTTAAGCTCTTGCACAGCCTTTTGTATTGCGTAAAGAGAATTTTTACAGCTGCAAAATGAAGAAAAAGCTCTATGAAGGAAAAGAAAGGACATAAATGAAATAGAAAGGACAGAGTTAAAGCTGCTGCACTGGAGTGAAATGGCTTTCAAGGGAGAGGTTAGAGGTCTAATTTGAGAGTAATAAAAAAAAAGGGACCAAATTCTGACATGATTAGTCATTTGTTTGGGCATCAGACAAGAAGAGTGACGTGTGCTTTGAGTCCCGGTGGAAGAAAAGGTCGACGTTTGGGCCGGGAGAATCGGGATAAGGGTTGAGCAGAGCGTGGGCGATTGCGGAGGGGCTCCTGGGATGACGGGTGAACCGTGGCAGGCCCTGAAAGAACGAGACTAACGGCGGCTGACGTGATCCCTCGTTTTGGGACTCGCCAACGTCGGTCTGCGAGCCTTTTCTCCGAATCCGTCCCACTGCGGCGTTCCCGAAGCGAATTCAACACGGGTGAGTCATCAGAGTTGTTCGGAAAACGGCCGGAATGTCACGGTGCCGGGCTGCGAGGACAGGGCATGAGAAGAGAGGGGGAAGGATGGAAGAGACGGAATGACGGAGGAGACTGGCGGGAAGTCAAAAATGTGATTTAAATGGTGAAGTTTCGGGCAACGAGCAAAACGTTGTAAGAAAATGGAACAAAGGGCAGCACTGTCTCCATCTTCTTCATGTTTTCCTCTATCACTCTCAATCTCTCTTTGTTCCTGTCATTTTTTCATTCTTTATGTTTAGTATCTTCATCTTCTTCATGTTTTTTTCCCCCTTTCTCTGATGTTTTCTCCCCAGCAGACACACAAAATATGAATTTGGATTTACAGAAACACACATGGATGACCGGTTAGACACCAAAAATATTACAGCAGTTACATTACAATTTTTACTGATAAATCTACTCATAATTGATTCATTCGACACTTAATAACTTAATTATGAAATATCAAAAATAATACAATAAGAATGCCTGAAAAAAAGGGGTATGGTACTTATTTCATACTAATATAGACTTTAGGAGTGATAGAAAGCAATGTAAAAGAAACATTAAAATAATATAACAACTGTAAATCAGACACAGCATGAAGAGTTGTCTTTGTGCCATAAATTACACAATCTTCAGTACTTTCCCAAACACAAAACCAAACAACAAAACTGGCAAGTGCAATATCCAAATCGAGGAAGCTGCAATTTTTTAACTAATCAAATACAAAAAATATAGTTTTTTCATACAAAAAAACTACTGATACAAAAAACGATCAATTCCACTCAAATCATATCACAATATCTATCAAAATAATTACAATAAGACTTTTTGTAACACATTGTGCAGCTCTAGTGTGCACTTATTTTATAAGAACATTTCTACGCACATATTAGTGGTTGAGGAAATTGCACAGATTTTTATACAGACAGAAGACGCATTAAACACACCCTCTTACCTTCAGCGTGTCGAGGCCTCTCTCCAGGTACGTGCCGTATTTGTTTTTCTCTCCAGTCGAGGCGTAGAATTTACTCCACCAGTCCATAAACTCTTCTTCCTGTTGGTCACATATTCGGAGGTCAGAGGACAGCAGGTTAACAATAGACTGGAAGTCCTGGAGTTACAGACTGTAGTTCAGTAAAATAGTTAAATCCATGCATTTAAACTGTGTACATTTACCTTTCACAGTTAAAATTCTTGTTATTCTTGAAGTTTTTGCACTGAATTAAACTCCATGTCAACTTTATTTTCATACAAACTGAGAAAAATTACCTCAGACTTCATCTCCTCTCTCACCAAAACCTCTGTGGCTACTGAAATGAACTTGTGTAATGACCTTTGACCTCTAAAACAACTAAAAAGCCCTGTACTGAGTGCTGTTTGCCTTTGTAGAGCTGCGCAGCACGGGGCTCAGGAATAACCCGCTTTTCATGATTTTTCCAGTGATCGCATAGCAACATGGAGTTAGCCAACTCACGTCAACACAAGTAAAAGTTGCCTCTGGTGGCTCTGTGGCATTAAGGTCATGGTATATGGGCGTTCTGAGGCAATGGAAACGAGCAACATCAAGATGGGAACAGGCACAAAGTGGACAAAACCAACATGGACGTCAGAAGATTCGTGTTATGGCACAAAAAATGAAATATATGTTTATGTATGAATGAAAATAATCCCTCTGCTGCTTTGCTCCGAGCTCTTTTCCATTACTTCTCTGTCATACATAAATATTCTGCAGGCATAAAAATATTTACATCTATTGTCATAAAAACAGCTGATCAGAATCAGAAATTTGTTCACATGAAGATATTTTGTCTGTGCATCGTTTTAGATTCTTGCACTTATTTTTCTTCTAAGGGGAAGATGTGTGAGCTCAACAGCAGTGACTGGAGGCAGAACTTCTCTACAGGGACTAAAAGTTCTCTAAAGTGGACTTCAACTTGTCTGGGGACTGTGGCTCTGACGTTTGCCCTCTTTCTAATCGGGAATGTACTGTATGTGATTCAGAGAGTTAAGCATAGCTGGGTGAACGTCACTGAGAAGACTTAAACTTTGTGCACAAAGCAGCAAGGTTATTATATAGTGAACTAAAACTAAAATTAGGGATGAAAAAACATTTTTCTTTAGTGACAAAAATAAAAATTTGATTTTGGGGAGGGGGGGGATGAAAACTAAGTGAAATAATTTTGTGTAAATTAACTAAAATTAAATAAAAATATACTGGAAATGTCTTAAGTTTTCAATTTGTCAACAGCATGAGGAGGATGTGTTCACTGACAGTGGGATGTCTACGTGACTGTGAGTGTTGTGTTTGTGTTGTAATACCCATTAAATCTTTCCCATGACACATCCTGTAAACCCCATATAATAACAAAAAGAAAAACTAATACTGAAACTATAAAAACAAAACATTTTTATGCAATAAAAACTAAACTGAAACTGAAAACAAAAAGTAAAAGTGATATAAAAAAACTATAATAACTCTGGTTTCTGAACAAGTCATTATGAGACTTTCACCGTGCAATTTAAAGTTTTTAAAATCTGCATTTATTACTTTAAAACTAACTTTATGTCATTAAGAAACAAACTGATCAGGTGTGTTGTGTTTTAATCGTCACTGAACATGCTGTAGTGGAGCTGATTTGTCTTAAAGTTAGTACGTTTATCCTGCTTCATTTGTTCAGACTAAAGAAACAAATGCTAAATAAAAGATTGCATTAAATTACAGAGACTAGCCCAGATGTGGCCTGTTGTAGAAGAGGATGGACATCCCCTAAACTAGTATAGGACTGTGTATTGGCAAGAATCTGATGATATAATACGTATCGTGATGCAAGGGTTTACAATTCAATATATTGTGATACTGTAAGCAAGTATATTTTTTTAAATCTAATTTTAGCAAAACAATCTGATTTAAAAAAAAGTTATATTTTTATGCAACCTGAACGGTTGAATCTGCAAAAAATAACATTTTGCAAATAAAAGGCGTTTTTTCTAGAAAAATACAGTTTTTTTTAGTAATACACAGTAATACACCTTTAGACAGGCTAGGAATCCTTGTCTGTGAAAATCTTTACACACATTATGCACTGCTGCAAGATGAGATTAAAGCATCAGACATATGTAATTTATCACATTCGTACATAGATTAGGCAAAATTGGCTCACAGACTTACCCATTGTAACATCTAGTGTCAGCGTTAACAGCAAAAGGCAGGTCAGACACAAATTTAATTTCATCACACACTGCGCACTCAATCAGTACAGACGCACAAACGCTGACAACATGTAACCACACACTAAAATAACAGGATTAAACACATTTTAAGTAGCTTTTCAACACATTTCGTAATACTTATTCTCATTGCACATTAAGGGTTTCATTCCAAAATGAAACGTACACCATTTGAAAAAAATATATAAAATAAATCCCTGTATTACAAAATGACTGCTGGCATGAAAGTAAAGGCCGTTAAAGTCTTACTATTACAGCTATGAGTCATCCTGAGGCCGGCGCTTACAATGTCGTTCTGTTTTGGAGGATAAAATATCTTTGTTTTTGAAATGTTGACTGATGGCTTTTTGTGGTTTGGATGCGAGTCATTTTGATTTATATGATATGATTTTTAGGGGGATATATAACATCTTTGAATGAAACCCTGTTATGTGTGTTTTTATCAAGACCTATTTTCTCAAGTATGAAGCAGCCTCATCCATCAAATTTACTAAAAGTCTGTTCACATTGGCAACGTCGAGCGGTCGATTCCGATGTTAATTTTTTTGAATGTTTTCTACAGAAAATAAAAAACTTCTTGTCCGTCTGAGAGTGTTTTGCTAGTGTTGTGTTTGTGTGTGTGGTGTGTGTGTGTTGCCCGTTGGCTGAGACACATAGGAAACGGACTACAAAAGAGGGGAATGCGAGGGGACAGATCAAACTACCAGCGCCTGCCCTTCCACACACACACACACACCACACACACACACACACTTGAGTCCGACCCGTCCCCGCCCTGCAACCTTCAACCCTCCGAGGAACACTCGAGCTTAAAACACACTCATGACGCATGTACCACTTTTTCCTTCTTGTATGTGTGTGTGTGTGTGTGTGTGTGTGTGTAGGCATAAATGTAGAACAAAAGTGCTCTTATGGCACTGGGTTGGTGTGGAATCCCCTTTCTCCTACTTCCCACAGACTCATGGACACACACACACACACACACACATAATCGAGGGGGTGAAAACTATGGAATTCCTCATTTTTCCAAAGTGGCAGCATGGCATGGAAAAGGGCAGCACGTGGAGTTTAACTAGGACATGACACACGCATGCATGGCGCGGCTGCGTGTCTGAGTGTCTGGTGTGTGTTAATGTGCCCTCTGTGTGCAGCCGGTGCCAAGCATTGATGACAGGGGCGCCAGAAAGTATGTGTGTGTGTGTGTGTGTGTGTGTGTGTGTGTGAGTGTGTGTGTGTGCCCACTAGTGTGCGTCAAGGTGTGTTCACTCAAGTCCACGACTCCTGATTCAGACAGATTAAGGCTATCGGTGGAGCGTTGCAGAATGCGGCGGGTGTTTTGTACACACTCAAGAGATCGAACACACATACACACATGCAGTGGTCTGTTCAGGGTGTCAGTGTGGTTTGCAGCCTATCATTACACCCTGCAGGGAAAGCCAGGCTAACCAAACCAGACTGGCACTGCCAAGAAGTCTGCGAGCAGAGCGACTGGATTTACATAAGAGCTCTGAGCTGCTTCATAAATGCTTTTTGTGGGGAAATCCCTTCTACAGCACTGTTGAGAGGTCAGAGGTCAAAGTAGCAACCCTGAAGCTGGAAGTGGCGCTATAGCCTAGACAGTCCAGGCTCATAGAGACCAAAACTGACGAAGCATTTGGGAGCTTTTTGTTGACTCATAAAGTCAATTTATCACCAGGAAGTTGCTCTCAAACAAAGTGTAAACACCAGTGATAATCTGTGACAAGTTCTAGGAAAGTTTACAGTATGAGCTGTGTCACTTCACTTGACCTACACCGTGTACAAACGTCTTGGTATTTACAGTTAGGAGAAAAGTTGAAGGACAACCATGATAAGGCGTCATAGAAAGGTGTTGGGCCAACACAAGCCTCCAGAACAGCTTCTTGTTTTAGATTCTATAAGTATGTGGAACTAGTCAAGAGGATTGCTAAAGACAGGGTTAAAATGAATCTGCTGTTAAGGTTAGGCGACCTTTTTCATCACCTTGCAAGGCAGCTTGATTCACAAGATCACAAAATCGTGAAATCACGTCAGAATGCATCTTGCCAGGCCATCACAGTGGTTCGGAGCAGTCAGTGTCCTGTGAGGAACTACTGGCACATACAGGCAAGGTTTAACGCTAGGTGCGACACAGCGAAAAGCGGCTTGAACATAATTGTTCACTAGGTTAAGATCTGGTGACTGTGAAGGCCATATCATATGCGTCACATCATTTTCATTCACTGAGCACTTTTGTCCTGTGGTTGGGGCCATTGTCATCCTGGAAGACATCAGTCCAATCAGGCTTTTCCTTTAATTTGTCTGTGGCTTTTTCATTGGTCCACCTTATGAGACGGATTCAAAAGTAACTGATGAGCACCTGAATGCAAATACCCGATGAATACTTTACAAGTTAACAAGGATTTCCTAAATGCCCCATATCAAATAACTAACTGGAGCACAAGGGATGATGGCAGGGATTGCCAATTGTACTGTGGAGGCCCAACAGTCTGTAGGTTTTAATTACAACCAAAGACTTCAACCACCAATTAGAAATCACCAACTGAAATGATGTGTTGGAATAAGAAACCCTGCAGACTGTTGGCCCTCCATTGTACCAGACTGGACACGCCTTATTTTCACCGATTGGTACATCTCTGCTCGACTCATTTCGACACTCTTTTGGCACGAGGTACTTCTCTCAATATAATTTTCCTCTACAGGTAGTACCATCTCAATGTAGGAAGGATTCTTAGCTGATCATCATAGCGACGCCATGTGAAACTGCTTCAACACAACACAAACAGAGGAGGTTGCAGATGACTCTGA